ACGACACCAAACAATGCACACAGGACAATCCCTCCTGTTCTTGGCAAAAAAAAAACACAAAACCTGCCAATACTTGGGGCACTACTGCATATTACACCTTCTTTACAGAAGCAGTTGCCACTTCAAAGGATTGTTTGCACTGCCCCCAAAGGGCAAAAGGTTTGGCCAGACAGGGACTCGGCTGTTTGCTCAGCACTAGTTCAAAGTTCACCGTTCTCCTTGTGAAGCCTGCGGCCTGATCTCTGCTCTTGACGGAGCCATTCCAACCAGCCAGACTCTCTTTAACATAAACCTTTATTATATACAGATTAAATTACAATCATCTTTACAGCACTTGCTGGGTGGGATTTAACAGCAGCAACAAGAGGCCAGGCCCACCCTCCCTGTGCAGAGGCAACACGGATGCACAATGAGCCGCTAGCGACAAGCCTCACCCTGCGGTGGGGCAGGCGCACTAAAAAGGAACACGAGACGCACGCTCGGCCTCAGCTGTTCTGGCAGTCTACCGGAAGGCCCTGCTGCTTGCCAGCCAGAGCCATGAAGAAGAGCTGCAGGGAGGGTCTCTGGTCAGAGAGCCCCAGGCCCAGCAAGGAGGCGACCAGGAGCCTTTTCACCTTGGTCAGGGGAGGCTGGGATGGCATCAGCTGCAAGGAAGGAAATGGGCGAGGTCAGTCTGGCAGCGGCCGTAAAAGGAGTTCCTTTCCAGGTGCAAGTCAAGCCCTGGGTGGGGGAGGGGATCCCGACGGAAACTCACCTTGCTGACCCTATGACATTTAATTAATCCTTGGGAATCTAGGAAGAAAGTGGAATAGGCATCATAGGTCCTAGAAGGGGAATAAAAAAATAATAATAAGGCTCATTTTAAGTGACTTATTACATGCTAAATGTTTTTAGCGTCTTGCTAGTGCATCGTGAGGATCCGGATATTTTGTCTTTACTAAAACTACCTGTGCCTCCTTACGAAGCATTTGAATGGCCTGGTCTTTCCCAAGAAGCAGCTGGTGCCACCAAGTCACAATCAGCTCATGGCAACCCCATCCCCAGGGCAAGAGAGGAGCCGGGGTGGTTTGCCATTGTCTTCCTCGGTGGCCTTCCAGCCTAGCACCCAAACTCTGGCGTGCTCTGGCTAAGATCTTTCCCAAGGCAAAGATATTGTTAAAAAGGAACAACGCGTTTGTACACTCTTAATATACGCCCTGAGCAAACTTATTTATTTATTATTTATTGATCTGATTTCTACCCCACCCTCCCCGTTTTACAGCAGGCTCAGGGCGGCTTACAATGATAAATACGGTACAGTTAAAATCACATAAAATCATCTAAAAACAATTCAACAGTAAACAATCACAATTTATCAAGTGCTGCTGCATAATAAATAATTGTTATAAGATGGCGTTCTTAAGAGTGTACACAGATCTCACCATGATTCTGCTCAAGATCTTCCTAACAAACAGGTGGTGCAGGCTATGTGTCGAGAACCAAGGGCCAGGGCTATAATTGAAGCTGTTAACATGGTGGTGGCTCCTAATTTAAGGCCTGGTGGAAGAGCTCCATCTTGCAGGCCCAGCTCTTCCACCAGGCCTTGTAGAAGATCCCGCAGGGCCCTGATCTCCGGGACCTCATTCCACCAGTACGGAGCCACCACTGAAAAGGCCCTGGTCCTGGTAATAGCAAGCCTGGTGTCTTTGGAACCCGGGAGGGTCAGTCTGTTTTGTGACACCAACCGTAGTGCTGTCCGGGGTAGATATGGGGAAAGGTGGTCCCTCAGGATACTATTTAAAAAAACAAAAACAAAACTCAACCTGCGAAATGTAAGCCAGTTTTGTTTATGTTTCTTAATGGGAATTGTTTTTATTGTAATATAATAGAGATTCCCAGGATGGTAAAAAAAAAACCCCATACAAACCCAGATCTAGCTCAGTGTTAATCCCCTTCACAAGATAACCCCAAATAAAGTTCTGCCATGCCTCCAGGAGACCAAGCCTTGCCTCAAGAGGAGCACAGTGTTTGCACTGCCCTAACCGAGGAGAGAACACACATGGACTCTGCTCAAAGACAAAACGGCAGCTCACAGGGGGGAAGCCTCACCTGTACAGCTCGGCCTTGTCCCTCTTGTAGAAGCGGAGCAGGAGGACGTGGAAAGGCAGCCCCGTAACACGCCACCGGGCTTGGATGCTCCAGTTCTCAGAGTGCTGCGTCACCTTCAGCACTTCCATGCGCAAGTCGGCAAAGTAGTTCCAGGCCATGAAACGGCATAAGGTCAGTGCCAGCTGGTACATGACTCGGCCACTGGTGACGGAAGTGGGGAAAATGAAATTATCAAATCAAGAGAGGAGGTTTTCGCATGCCATCAATAACAAAGGACTCTTTCTCCTATATAGCCTCACACTGTAGATGTATGACAATCCCATCATTATTTTCCTAATTTTGTGCTATACACAGATATCTTCCATCAGCATTTCTTCCTTCCCTATCATTTTCTTAGGAAAGACATGTGTGGTTTTTACCATACTGTACCAAGGGAGGTAAGTGAATCATACCTCCCTCTCACAGTGAAAGACTGCAAATCTTTCTCCCTTTCTCTGCAAACGATCGGTCAGACCACAACAAATGTACAGATCAATGCTCCCTCTAAGCTATAGAATCCTGTGAGCAAAAATTCTACTTTTTGAGCAACCGGCATTAAAGTTGTGAGCAGGTGATTTGGCTGCTGCATAAATTAGATTTGGTGTGGAGCCGTCCTTCCTGAGCCAAGACAAAAAACGTGTGAGCTGGAGGCTAAAAAACTGTGAGCTAGATCACACTAACTCAGCTTAGAGGGAACACTGGTACAGATACCTCTTTAATTTTCTTTGAAAAAAGAATGCAGTCCACTAACATCTATAAAAGTTTACATGAGCATTTCCCCAGCCTCCCCTCTCTTAAACTAAACAGTCTCAGTTAGAGGGTTGGCTCACACATGCATGTTCAGCATCGATTGCAACACTCCTGCATGTGGAGCACTATGTCATAGTTGCGAGTACCACAAGCACGGCATGTCACCCTCCAGAAACTACTTTGCAGGGGAGGCAGTGGATGATGTGCGTACATGCACAAAAGTAAAGAGCCACAACAGTGTGTGAACCTGTTAGACAAATGAGGGGTCCCAGGCAATCAAAGGGCTTTCCAGGCTAGCAGCAACCCAAACCTGGTATCGGCATTAAGTGTACCAACCAACACCCCAGTGTGTGAGAGCTAGGGTTGCCAGCCAAGCACTGGCAACTGGTAGAAGGGGCAGGGACGATTACATTGGCATCGCACCACTGCCATTTCCAGCGCGAATCTGCAACTGTGTTGGGATAAGCATTATCCTGACACGGGGGCCACTTTGCGGCTCACACTAGAAGCAGCATTGTGGCATGCTGGTCCCCCCCCCCCAGTTTTGCTCATCCTACTCCACTGAGCAGCAGCAGGATCTGGGGAGGGGGTCTCCTGCCAGAGAGGACGACCTGGCCACCCTAGTCAGACCACAGGCATGAAGGGATGAGCCACTCACCTGCCTCTTCCAACATACTCAGATGGTGTGAATGAAAACACCAGATCGATATGCTGCATTCAAATAAGGAAATTCGTGGCTGAGATGACCTCTGAAAGCCAGATCCCCACCATGGCCTTTGAAAGCCAGATGAAAGGATGGCCGCTAAAAGGCCCCTTGAGTCATTAGATGGCCACAGGCATGCAAGAAAACCAACCACTGGCTGACTGGGGACCAGATCTGGGCTATAGGGTGGCAGCTGCACACAGTGACAGGCTTAAAGGAATCAATGTGCCAGTTTTCTTGACTGTACCCTAGGCTGTCCCCAGCACTGACCGCGTTTTCAGGTGCAGAATCTCGTTGTCAAACTCCACATCCTGGGAGTAGATTCCATAGTCGTGGGTCTTCAAAAATAAGCTTGGTAACTGGAAGAACAAGGAGCGAAAGAAGGGTGAAGCCCTCCCTGCCCAACTACCGGCTCTCTGTATAATCTCGGCAAAGTCTCTTAGCCTCCCTCGGCCTCAGTTTTCGCATCCGTTGTGCAGCCAGCAATTCTCCTTTCTGCCATTCGGAGAGCAGGCTAGTTGACCTGTGAGTCACTCAGCAGAGCGGAAACGAGTTCCTGGAAAGCTCAAATTCAAAACCTCACTTTTGTACGTGGAAATCCCAGCTCTGGCACTTGGACTTCATTTCAAGTGTCAGGTGCAAGCATGTGCCCTGCTGTCACCATTCAAGAGACTGGGGTGGGAATTACAGGGCTCTTTTTGTAGAAAAAGCCCAGCGGGAACTCATTAGCATAACAGGCCACACCCAACAACAGGAACTCATTAGCATATTGGGCCACACCCCTGACAGCACAGCTCATTAGCACATTAGGCCACACCCCTATGTTACCAGAAATGTGGTCATCCAGCCACACCCACCTTTTGCATGTTATTCTGTTTACCTTGTTTGTTGTCAAAACCCAGGACTTTTTTTGTAGCAGGAACTCCTTTGCATGTTAGGCCACACACCCCTAATGTAGCCAATCCTAATGAGTTCCTGCTGTTGGGTGTGGCCTATTATACTAATGAGTTCCTGCTGGGCGTGGCCAACTCGGGAGCTAGCCGGAACTCCGTTCCTGTGCGTTCCTGCCCAAAAATAGCCCTGGAATTCAGAAATCCCAGTGAGCATGCCCGAGTGGTTCTGCGTATATAATGGGCCAGACACTGCCCCCGAAGGGCCCTAACCCTTGCGAGTGATTTGGGGGGGGGGGGAGGTGGATCCAAGTGTGCATACAGAATCCGTTCACACTGTTCTTTGGATCCCAGCCTTCAGCCTCAACTCCCTCACCAAAAAGGGGGAGAGGGCTTTTTAGAAACTCCATATATTTGTTTCTCCAAACTATGAGAGCTCATACTTATCTGCAGGCTTTTCAAACACATGTGGCAAACTGGGACCAAGGTGCCTTCCAGCCCTACACACCTGCCAAGAAACAAACCACTCTACGCCCCAAGCAACATGAGATCCCCCCTTGACCTACCTCGCTCCGTAATTTCTGGTGCATGACTGCGAGATGCTCCTCCATGCTGGAATCGTCACTCCCCGAGGAACTGGCTGGGGATGGGCTCCCCGTCGTGGCCCTGAAGGGTGTGAGTGGGCCCAGTGCTACCTCGGGAGCCTGGTAGGGTGAGCGGCACTGCCAGCCATGGAACAGGCTGTGCAAAGAGTCTAAAGAGGCACCATCCAGCCCTTCGCCGTCCCTGACCACGATGTCATCTTCTTGCCTCCCGCTCACCAACGTGACGGCACCCCCCATGCCTTCGGGAGGAGAGAGCACAGCGGGGCGGAAAAAGGCCCTGGTCTCCAGGCTGGGCTGGTGCGTCGGCGAACAAAGTCTAGTCTTTGACTCACTCCCATCGATCACAGCAAAGCTGCCGTGTGTAGGGCTGAGCAGAGCTGGGAGGGTGGTGGAGGCTTCCAATGGCCTCCTGGTGAAAGAGTGGAATGTCGGCCCTACGGAGGCCACAGGGACAAGCCCTGGCGGTAGCTTATCCCAAGAAGCATCTAGGTCCTAGAATGAAAACAAAAGAAGAGTTGGATTTATAACCCACCCTTCAGTTGGGAGTCTCGAAGCGGCTTACAATCTCCTACCCTTCCTCTCCCCACAACAGAAACCTTGTGAGGTCGGTGGGGCTGAGAGAGCTCTGAGAGAACTGTTCTTAAGAGAACTGTGACTGGCCCAAGGTCACCCAGCTGGCTGCATGTGGAGGAGTGGGGAATCAAACCCGGTTCTTCCAGATTAAAGTCCGCAGCTCTTAACCACTGCACCAAACTGGCTCTCTCCAAACTGTTACGGGGAGTTGGCTTTGAGGATAACGACAACTAGCTTGCCACGTGGAGCTCTGATCTGCTTTGGCTCTACTGAGAGGAACACACACCCCAGTCTTGTCCTGGGCCATCCAATCTGGCCTTCGTAGAGGAAAAGGATGGTTGCTTCATCTGTACAGAAGGGAAGGGGAAGCCATTACTGGCCAGGAGTCTCAGGGTCACTGGGAGCTTACACCTTCTCCCCTCCAGAAGAGCACCAGGGGACATAGAAGCCCTAGCCCTGTATCAGAGGACCAGCGGACTCAGAGGATCTTATTCCCTCCCTCCTCTCCCCACAATGAGGACACCACACTAGCCCTGGCTTTTTGTTTAAGCCCAGTAAACTACATAATACTTTTGTCCTCTGCAGCATGAAGCACTCCATGAACAGCTGCTGCAAATGTAGCAGCAAAGGCAGCTCGCTGTATCTGGGCCAGAACCTGGTACTCTGAAGCGATCACCTTTCCGGCTCACAAGAATGCTCAAAACAAAGCTTGAAAATATGTGGATGTTCAGGGAAAGTGAGCAGACAGTGAAAGGCACCTGGGCAGCTCCTGAGGCTTTAGGGCCATATTTATTTATTTATTTATTCAATTTTTATTCCACTTTCCCTGCAAGCGGGGTCAGGGCGGGTTACAACACAGAATATACCGAACAGAGAATAAAACAGGTCTAAAAGCCCTAGCACGACTATTCTAAATTCCAACTATACAAAGCTCTCTGTCCTTTCCCATGTTTCTATTGTCACACACACACCCGTTGGAATGAAAGCAAGTCCAAGGAATGGGGCAAGCAAATATACACAAACTAACCTTCCTGGTGGTCAGAATTAAAGATACTCAAGATTTTGTGTGGACTCTGAGAAGCTCCACTTTATTTTTCAGTTCTTGCCACTTGCCACCTCCTAGCTTCCTGTGTAGCACTAACTCCTGTTGTTATGGGGAGGGTTTACAAGTCCAGTGGCAAAGTACAGGCCTCGCACACAGAAGATCCCTGCTGTAATCCTCACCACCTCCAGCTAAGGGGCCTCAAGCATGCAGAATTGAGAGAACACATAACTGTTGGGGGTTTTGGAGAAAAATAAAACTTGGTTTTCAGCAGAGATAAAATAGCTTAGCAATACCAGAGTAAAATAATTCAGACTCAGAGTCCATGTGTGTTTAAAATAGAAAGTTTTTAGGAGGAGGAGGAGGAGGAGATTGGATTTATACCCCGCCCTTCACTTGGAGTCTCAGAGCGGCTTACAAACTCCTTTCCCTTCCCCTCCCCACAACAGACACCCTGTGAGGTGGGTGAGGCTGAGAGAACTCTGACACAAACTGCTCTTTTTCAAGGACAGCTCTTATCAGAACCACGGCTTGCCCAAGGTCATCCAGCAGGTGCAAGTGGAGGAGTGGGGAATCAAACCCGGTTCTCCCAGATTAGAGTCTGCGTTCTTAACCACTACACCAAACTGGCTCTCTTTTACTACATTCTAGCATAGGGAAGGGTAACTGGGATGAAAATAACAACAGAGCTAAGTTCCCTACATCTTTACACTACAACGACAAAACTAGAAGAAGAGGTAATGGCTGCTCTTCTCGCTGCTTCAGAACTCCAAACAAAGAGAGGAAGAGAAGCCATAAAATGCAAAAACACTTTGACACTTTGCTTCCAATGAAACTCCTAGATCAGGGATGATTTTCCCGGGCTTGTAGTTCTAAACTAGCATTGGCTACATAAAACATGTGATTTCCTGTGAGCAACATAAACAAACATTTAACCCCTTATATACTGAGTGTTTTTAACATGTAATACCCAACAATAACATGATGGTGGAATGGACATACCACTGGTGAAAGAAATGTAAGAACAGAAGATCGCCGGTGGTCTATCTAGGCCAGTATCCTGTCTCACACAGCAGCCTACCAGTTGTCCTGGAAGACCAACAGGGTAGGAGGTGAAAGCCTTTCCCCAACGTTGCCATCTAAGCACTGGTATTCACAGGTTTATGTCTCTGGATGTGGAGGCTCCCCTCAGTGACCATGGCCACTAGCCATTCGTGGACCTCTCCTCCAGGAATCTGCCTAATCCCCTTTTGAAGCAACTTGTTCGCGTGGCCTTCCTATATGCCCACTGACAGTGCATTCCCACAATTTAATCACTCACTGAGTAACACAATCGTTCCTTAATGTCCATCCTGAGTGTGTTGACCACCGCTTCATTTCAAAGACTCTGGCCTAGAATCTCCCTTCGTCGTGCACCCCACAAACAGAAAACTAGCACTTCTGTGCATGTCGAGCTGGCTTTGTTTGGGGTGGGGGCTGTTAAACGTCTAGATATCTTCCCAACCTCTAGAGATCTTTCCAAGAGGCGCAGTGCATTCCACCACCTCAACACTCCCAACAACGCATTCTCTTGCACGTGTGAACGACTACAGGTTTTCTTGCTCCACCACGTGTCTCCTTGCCCCATGCAGCCTCCCCCTTCCTTATCTCCCACATCAGACACTCTGACAGCCAGGACACCTGGCCACGCCCACCAGACCGCTTCGCCCCCCCCGGTCACCCCGCCGGTCACGCCGTCATCCTCCCACTCACCCGCGGCCGCGCCCGGTAACAGCATCTAGTCGAGTCGCCTTGCGCCCAGCGGCGCCTTCCGGTGTTGCCCTCCCAACCCCAGGAGCACCGGGGCCCAAGGCGTCCAGCGACTGCCCGGCTCCGCTGATACATGGCGGGGGGCACGGGGCAGGCGGCTCCCCCACCCCCTCCGGCAAGCGCAGCCCACCCTCCGCCGCGCTCGCCTCAGAATCCGCCCGCTTCACCCGGCGAAGCCACGGCGCCTGCGCGAACTAACTGTCCAGTCGGAGCAAGCGCGTTGCTGTAGTCTCCTTGGGTGAAGGAGGGACGAGTGCGCATGCGGCCTGAAGATGCCTGGGTTCGGACTTACATAAACAGGCATGAGAGCCCGACTTTTTTTTTTTTGGCTTCCGCGCTTGTATAAAGAGGAAAGGCGATTGCGTTCCTTAGAAAATCTTCCGGTTCGCAGTTGCAATCGGGACGCTGGCAGGCATTCCTCACCCGCGGAGCAAGCGTGTTTGAATTACGTACGAATTACCAGAGTAATCCCCCCCTCCAATTGTAAATCAGAGGTTTCTTTCATTGTAATGCTTTGAGATACACACGAAGCTATCTTACACTGAATCAGAGCACTGGTTCACCAAGGCCAGTATTGCCTACCCGGACTGGCCGTCTCTCTCCGAAGTCTTTCAGGCACCTACTACCCTGTCCTTTTAACTTGGAGATGCTCGGGATTGAACCTGGCAGCTTCTCCATGCAAAGCACACGATATACCAACTGAGCCACGGGCGGCTGCTTCCCGAGTTTTGCGTTCTGACTGCAAAAGAAGTTCGATAAAGCTGATTGAACCCGGGACCTTCTGCATGCCAAGCCACTGAGCCAGGTCCCGTTTTCAGATACTGTGTGTCCAATTACGACTGGAGATCAGTGTTCCCTCTAAGCGGAGTGTGAGCTAGCTCACAGTTTTTTAGCCTCCGGCTCACACATTTTTATCTTAGCTCAGGAAGGGTGGCTCCAGAGCAAACTAATTTATGCGGTAGCCAAATCGCTCACTCACAACTGTAATGCCAGTAGCTCACAAAGTAGAATCTTTGCTCACAAGACTCCACAGCTTAGAGGGAGATGCGCTTTTTAGGCTTCCCCTGTTGAACGTTTATTTGCAACCTTTCTAAAGCACGCTGGTTTGCTGCCCCTTGTTGCAGGGATTCTTTAAAGGCTCGTGAGGGGCTGCTCTCAAACATATACAAGATTATATTGGGGGGGAAATTAGGGCTGGAGATCTCCCAGAATTACATCATCTCCAGACTACAGCGGTCAGCTCCCCTGGAGAAAATGGTAGCTTCGGTGAGGTGTGTGAAACCAGTGTTATCACATCCCTCCCTAGGCAGCACCCCTGAATCTCCAGGAGTTCTTGATCCTGGAGCTGGCAACCTTAAATGTCAGGTAGTGGGGAAGAAAGCTGGAAACATCATACCTTCAAGGCTATGCAACAGACAGAGAAGTTCCAGCTAGTACAAGCCTGCTTCTCCCCAATAATGGAGATACCCTTTTTGGACAGAGTGAAAGAGCAAAGTGACACCAACCTTGTAGCCCAAGGCTATCACACAGAAGAAAACCAGTGGGACTTACTTGCTCCTGGGGCCTATGATTGCAGAGTAGGACTGCAGTAAAACAGAAGCATTCAGGGAATAGTTTACAGCACCTTGTCTTTATTGCATCTGTTTTCTAATGTTTGCAATCTGCCTTCAGTCTCAGCAAGGAAGTCAAACTATAAATACATTCTTTATTGCATCTGTTTTCTAATGTTTGCAATCTGCTGCCTTCAGTCTCAGGAAGGAAGTCAAACTATAAATACACAAGACAGACCTGGATGCAGGGCTTGGTTTCTAACTGTGGTGGGGTCACAATGATCAAAAGAGATGGGGCTCCTGTTCCCAGGTAATGACTACTGGGGGACGGAAACAATTGGGATTGCCAACCCCCAGGTGGGGCCTGGAGATCTCCCAAAATGACATCATTTCCAGACTACGAAGATCCACTCCGCTGGAGAAAATGGCTGCTTTGGAGGGCGAAATCAGTGACATCACATCCCTCCCTAGACAGCACCCTCTAAATCTCCAGGAATTCCCAAGCCTGGAGTTGGCAAGCCCTGTTTTAAAGGGAAACATGTAGATGTAGGAATGGTCTATAAAGCATATCACCCTTTTCAGATTTCTTATCCCATTTGACCCCATTCTAACCAATACTAAATCCCTCCTCAAATAATAACAGCCATCCCGGGGAGAGGGTGGCAGCTAAGAACAGGACTCTGGTTGAAATAGACTAGGAAGTCAAAGTGGAAAGCAACATTTAGACACACCCTGAGCTCTTATTAAATCACAGAAAAATGTTGGCATACTGAGCAACCTTCAGCATATGGAAGATTGGATCTGTAAGGTGTACAGATGAGAACTAGTTTATAGAGGAAAAGGTATAGAGACAGCACAGCTGATTTTTTTCCATAGACATCATTACATCGAAAAGGTGAAGTAAAAATCTACATTCAAACTAGGTAAGCTAACTGGAATTAAATCCTCTGCTGTACTCCATTCATTCCGATTAATTGAGTCCTGCGATAAGCAACTCCAGAAGTGCTAGATTCATTTTGATCAGGTTAGAACAACTTGATTTATTGCACATGCTATCTGTCCTTTCCGATCTTTTCTTCTTCCCAGTCTTGATATTTGGTTGTTCAGGGCTTTGCTCAACATCTCATATAATTCCCAAAGCACATTCCAATTGAATTGTTCTGACCATGAAGATAACACAAAACTTTAACATTTTGAAATTTCCATATTTTTGTATATCCCAAATTCCTCATCTTAAGGATATCATTTTGTCAAAAATTCCAAAAAGCTTCCTGCTAAACAACAGAGGGGGAAGGAATCATTGGCAACATGCAATTGGCAAATTGCAAAATCAGTGTTGGAATGCCGTGAACTTTAGATGGGTGGTGGTGGTTTGTTTTTTTGTTTTTTTGAGAAAGAAGACTTTTAGTATATGGAATTCAAGTCCATATTTGAAATACAGAGAGCTCAGGTGCATTTTCCTTTCAACACTAACATCAAAAGATGAAGCAAACAGATTTCCTAACTGATCAAAAGAGGGAAATGGGGGAAAATAAATTAGGAGTTACCACGTGATACAGAGGATCAGCAAGACGGATATATTGAATAATATGCTTCTACCTGGTTTGATTCAAGGCAACAGGGAAAGGGGGAGAAGGAAATGGCACAGGAGTTCAGCCTAGTAATGGGTGGGGCTCCAGGTTAAATGGTTTAGTCCAAGCCATTCTGATGGCAAAAAGTCTTGTTAAGGAGAGTCATTGTTCTTCCCTGGACTGATGACTGTTCATTATTGGCTTGGCGCTCTAGCCACGATAACATGCCGTTCCCTGTCACCAAGGTCTGGTATTGCGATGCAGGTACATGTGGCCGATCCTTTTGGCTTCGTAGGGCCCTCCCGCCACTGTCCACATGGGCATGATCTGCTGTGGGCTCCTGACCAGATTGTACCAATTCTGCTTCCGAGAGAGGTGAGCCACACATGGGTCACTTTGACTGGAGGACTGGGTCAGTGCAGCAGCTGAAGCGTCGGGGCTTTTAGTCCGTTCAGGAGCAGCAAGAGTTTGGGGGTCCATCTTGGGGCAAGAGGATTCTTCCGGAGGATGGCCAGCATCTTCCGAATGTCCAAGGGCAGCTGGTTCTAGCTGGTGTGAATGACTGGCAGTGGCGGTGCCTGACCTGCTGGAGAGAAAGACGACATCAGCCAGACAGATCAGGGAGTGTCCAGGGATACCAATGACCAATGCTGGCAAGTATTAGGCTATTTAGAGAGGTTACAGAGAAGTGCCAAGGAGAAAGATGGGCACATTTTAAATAAACGATTTTCCCATCACCCCAGAAATCCTTACACCAGGCCTGTGAAGTAATCCTGTAGTGTTACCACCATACCTTTGGCTGAGGCAGCGGGCAACCTATTAGCTGGCCTCTCTATTGCTCCTGCTACTGTACAAGATCATTTATGGCTTGGCATTTACTCCGGCTTGGCATTTACTCCGGCGGCAGAAATTGAACTAATATATTGCACTGCCCACTTTAGATGTTTTATTGTATCGTTTTATACTGCTATTTGTTATAACCCTTGATTTATTTTGAAGACTGTATTCTGTTGGTTGATGCCAGCCGCCCTGAGCCCACTTCCGGGAAGAGCAGGATATAAATCAAAATAAACAAATAAATAACCAGATTATAACTTTTTTTGGGGGGGGCATAGAGTAGGGGTTCCCAATCTATTTGACCCTGTGGGCACCATTGGGTTTCTGACACAGTGTGGTAGGCACGGCTACAAGATGGCTGCCACAGCTTACTTCGGTCACGCACGGTGAAGACTTTTGTGTTGTGGTAGCAGCTGCTGCCAAAGCAACATTTTTTAAAAATGTGCACAGCCAATCAGAAGCCTTGTTGGTTAAAAGTCCCACCTGGCCCCGCCCACTTTCTAGAAACACCCAATGGGCACCAAGGAAAGTGTCAGCGGGCGCCGTGGTGCCTGCAGGCACCGTGTTGGGGACCCCTCACATGGAGACTAAAAGACAATGGTTGGTCTATGGCCGAAGGGTGATTTGAACAAGGGGGGCATCTACGTCACCACACATTCTTCCATAGTGCACTTGCTCCAGTCTAAACTAAGCCTAGCATTGACTCTGTATAGAATTGCATTATTAACCACTACACCACAGTTGCTGGTACACAATACACTGGATGGCTGAGCTCTGATGTTCCCTGTGGATGTGTCCATCTCAAGGAACATTTTACAGCTTCTTTTGTTGATGCTTCTGCCATGGTCAGGTTTTTCTCCCCAAACATACAGTTTTGGGTTGCCCTGACTCCACCTTTTCTCAGAAGGCAGCAGGAACTGCCAGAGCCTAGGAGAGGATACCAGGTGCATAAAAGGTATGTCCAATCACTTTTCTTTTAGGATGTCCCAATGGACGTACATTGCACACCATCATGCTCCAAATGCCACAGCTGGCAACTGCCCGTGTCAAAGGCAGGAGACACAATCTACCTCCTGTCCCTGCTGGTGGTGCCACTAACATCTGCATCCACAATATATGGAAAGAACCACCTTTGCTTGTTGTACCTTTTGTGGCTGTCTGGCTGCTGGTAGGGCTGGCACCAGGAAACCTTGAGTTGGGGCAGCTGCCCAGGCCCAGAGCTTCTGGTAGGGCCCACTCCCAACCCATACACCTCCCCGCCATTTGTCTTCTGTGCCCTTCCCTATGCATTTGCTTGCAAGTGCTACCACCCATGCTCCCAGCTTCCTAACACTGATGTGGAAAGGCACACAGGTGGTACACAGCAGCACTATCAGCTGTACACACCAGCTGTTTTGGTCAGGGAAAGGGCATGAATGCAGTGCCGGTAGGCAGTGAGAGAGCTTGGGATCGGGGGAAGGATGTACAGTCATAAGGAAACGTGCAAGTAGGTGGGTGGAAAGGGAGGCATGGAGGGGCTGGTGGTAAGTAGAAAGGGGCCCAGGGGCCCCCAAAACCTGGAACCGACACTAGCTGCTCGTCAGCTGGATGGGATATGGCAAGTCAACAGGTTCCAGGGGGTTGGATCAGATGAAACTTAGTTTGATCCGGGAAGGCAACTCTCATTTTACAAAATGAGAGAATAAACCTACTGTAACTAGGCACCATCCGTCATGTGATGGGTGTTCTTTAAATTGAGTCCTTCTCACCAAAGGGAGCCAATGGAATTAAGCAACCTGAACATAGCCTAGAGTTGTTGTTACAGCCCCTGGGCCTTCAGATCAGTTGCTTGACAGGTAAGTCGAAATCCTGGATTTGGAATTGGAGGCACCGGTCTACTCATACTGATAGGTTCTGCTTCTGGTAAACAAGTGCTGTTACACACTCTTTGAGATTTATGGATCAAAATGTGGTCTGTGTGTATTTTCTAACCAATGAAGCCAACCACAGTGCCACCTGGAAAACTAACATGTGATTCTGTAATACCATGAAACACATACATCTCATCACTTACTTACTTCCTTTTCCTAATCTCCAGAATAGGTGGAATTTCTCTCAGTAAGTCCAAGCAAGCTTTATTTTGACACAGTGTCCACGACACTCCAGAACCCTAATGCATAAGAGTGTCCATTTCCCCCCCTCCCGATATAATCAAGGATAAATGAATGTTTTTTCCTGCAAGGAAAAGCTATATGCCACATATATATATGACGAAGCTACCGTATACCAAATCAGACCATTGGGCCATCCAGCTGAGTATGGACCAACTCTGACCAGCTGTGGCTCTCCAGCATCTCAGTCTCTCCCAGGACCTCCTCCCTGAGATTCTTTACCTTGACATGGTGGAGACTGACCCTGGACTTTCATCATGGACAGCGCTGCACTCTAGCAGCAAGCCACTGCCCTTCCCCTATCAACACCCACCACCACCACTTTCTTTTAATGTGTTAGCTTGTGTAGGAGACTTTTCCAAGCAGGAAGAAGATGGGAGCGAGTCACAGAAAGAGGAGAGACAGCAGACGAGGGAGAATGTCTTACTGGCTTTCTGATTCCTCAGCCTTCCTTGGGGAGTGGAGGAGGATCTTTGAGTCACCTAAGGAAGCAGGAAGAAATCAGGCACCTTTAGGGTTTCATCTGCACAGGCATTGTGGTACTTCCCCTGCTGGAGAACTGTAGTTTTAAAGAAGGGGAACATTCAGCAAAAACTCTCAAGAGGACACTGACAGCCCAAAAAAATGCCTCCAGCTCAAACATTAGCAGCTAACCATCAGTCAGGGAGATGGCCCCGTTTGGCATACCATGTACACTTCTGGTTGCAGTATGTCAAAGCAGATGTTGCAGAGCTGGGAAAAGTGCAGAAGAGGGCAACCAGATAATCATGCAGGTTGGAGCACCATTCCTATGAGGAACAATCACAACTTTCCAGTTTAGAAAAAAGGCAGTAGGGGGGTCATGATGTTAGAGGTTTATAAAATTATGCATGAGGTAGGGAAAGGGGATAGAGTGTATTGTTTTCTCCCATGATACTAGAACTTTGGGGCACCTGATGAAGTTGATGGGCAATAGGGCTCAGGACGAATAAAAGGAAGCAGTCCTTTACACAAGAAGTAATTAAATTGTGGAATTCAGTGGTGGATTTAGTGATTGCCGTGAGCACAGATGGCTTGATAAGGGGGTGAGGCAGATTCATGGAGGAGATGTCCACCAATGGCTTCTAGCCATGGTGACTAAAGGAAACCTCTGAAGGTTAATACTAGGAAGAATCAGGGGGAAGGCCCTGGCCTCCGAATATGTTCAGTTTGGATGTCAGGGCTAGTAGCCATCAAGAGACTTGTTACCTCAACCATAAAGTGACGTGGCTAACCAAAATACTCCAAATTATCATGCCCAGAGCATTTCCTGATGGCTCAATCCTCTGGGAGTGCTTCAGTCAAGAGTGATCTTCTTTGGCACCATTTGTGGGTCACTTCATTCTGTATAGTTCTAAAATGTATTTGCCTAGCCCCTTGAGATCAGGCTAGTTATAAGTCTGGGGAAAAGTGAAGGGGAAGAGAAGAGAGCCCACTCACTTGCTCTTTCCTCAGGGTCTTCAAGAATCAGGGCAGCGTTCTCAAAGCGGCTGTAAGAACACTTCTGAGCCATCATGGCATCCTTTTGAGGGCTCGTCCTAGAGATGGGAGTGGAAAACACAAGTGGGATGATGGACATGAGGCAGCAAAAAGGGAGTGGGGAGAGCAGGATAAACAAGAACGAACCAAGAAGAGGAAAATGCCAGAAGGAGACTGAGGTGGTGCTACTGAAGAAGTGTTTTCCCCGCTCAGAATTAACAACACTGGGGGAAGATTATTCGCAAGAGGAAGTGGCGGCCAGTGTTTAATTTCTCCCTCACCCGATGTTCCATACGTCTGAGGGAAGGTTGCAGGTGTACTTTCTCCTCATATTATTTTATTCATTTAGTCAAGCAGCCTGCTCAGTTCAGAACTGAGGCCTACCTACCTTTTTCATGTCTGACCTCTGTGCTCTATTTGTACACTGGCTTCTGGAAAGGGAAGTATGTTGAGAAGGCTCTCCTTTGGGCGTTAGAACAGTGGGTGGACCATGTTGCACAAGGAGTGCTAACCGCAGAGTTCAAGATGTTGGGTACCCCACAGATCTTTAAAAGTAGTGTCTGAATGAATACAGGGGCGGCTGCGGCCACACACACTAAATAATGCACTTTCAGTTCACTTTCCAACTGGATTTTGCCAGTTCACACAGTAAAAATCCAGTTGGAAAGTGTACTGAAAGTGGATTGAAGAAGAAGAAGAGAAGAGATTGGATTTATACCCCGTCCTTCACTACCCAAAGGTGTCTCAGAGCGGCTTACAAACTCCTTTCCTTTCCCCTCCCCACAACAGACACCCTGTGAGGTAGGTGGGGCTGAGAGAACTCTTGACAGAAACTGCTCTTTTTCAAGAATAGCTGTGCCAGAGTTATGGCTTGCCCAAGGTCATCCAGCCAGGTGCAAGTGGAGGAGTGGGGAATCAAACCCAGTTCTCCCAGATTAGAGTCCGCGCACTTAACCACTACACCAAGTGGCGTCACAGGTCTGTTTTACATTCAACATGTAGTCACCCCATTTGGTTCCCTGTAGTCCTCTTATTATTTCAGACTGAGGAAAGCTGTGTGTGCGCCCGTGCGCATGAACTGATTGATTTTAAACCGTCACAATCTCAGAGCTGGGATTACAGAACAAAGCCCAGCCTCTGACTCAAGTTCATAGGCTTAACTTCATACGCTTTGACTTCCTTCCGAGCTGCGCCAAAGCACTGTCCAGCAGGAGACGGTTTTACACATCAAGCAACAGTTCTACAGTTACACCAGAAGCCAACCAATATAGAAAAACAAGACAAGACCCTTTTTTTTGGAAATTTTTTAAAAAGGAAACTTTATTGAAATGTAAACAAAAGCTCTTATTTCCATGCTGGACACTAACAGCCGAAAACAGTTCAGAGTCTTGGATGCTTTGATCAGAAGGGAGGGTGGACAGAGAAACGGCTAAGGAATACGGTCCAGCTCCCTGTCCAAAACGTAAAGGGGGTCCTAGGAGTTCTCCATCTCCGAGCAGCTCTCAAATCCATTGTACGAAGCAGTGATGTCCTAGAATAAGGGACGTTACCTACGGGGTTGCTCATGAGCCCACAGAAAGGCTGTTTACTGTGCTTAAGGTACGAGACAAAGTCTTTGCTCCGTCCCTGCTTGCTCCGCACCTCCTGTCCAAGTGGCCGACACACTAAGTTTCACTCTCCTTCCCCCCATCAGAAACATGAAGAGAATCATAAATCAGAGCTGTGCTATATAAAATGTCATAGCTCACTGGTAGGTCCCAGGTTCAATCCCTGGCGTCTCCAATTAAAAAAAGATCAGGTAGTATGCGATATAGAAGAACTCTACCTGAAACCCTAGAGACTTACTGTCAGTCGGAGTAGACAATACTGACCTTAATAGACCAAGGAGCCGACATAGAATACGGCAGCTTCATAACAGGCTAGATTGAGCCAGAGGACTGCCACAGTGACCCACCAGATGTGTACTGGAAGCTCTCAAGCAAGGGATGATAGATGGTCATCCTTGGTTGTTCACCACAACTCTTAATATACTATCTCTGATATGGGAGGTTCCATGTTTAGCTATCAAGACTGTTACGGACTGATCGGTCATCTAGAATTTTGTAACACATTTTTGAAAGCTCAGGTTTAGATGGGAGTGTCTGATCTATGAGGACATTACTATAAACACCAGAATAAACCATCAGCATGAGCCACCCTTATGGATGCTACCTGACTGAGATGCCATTTTACAAAGGCAAAACAAATTGATGGAGGATAGGTCTGTTATCGGCTATGACCCACCCATTGGTATACCTCCAATTATGAAATATAGAGGAAACAAGAAGAGAAGGAAGGTCTACCACCAGCACACCCTGCTTGTGAGCTTCCAGAAGAAAGCGACCAGAAAACAGAATTATGGTTGTTATAGTTGTGGCCATGTTGCACATGGCCGGGTAAAGTGGACAGGGTAAAATGGCCACGGTCAGGGGTCATTTCGTAGAAAAAGAGCTAGGGGAACTCATTAGCATAACTCATTAGCATATGCCACACCCCCTGACATCAGGGGCCTGGCGGTGGACCTGCAGCGGGAGTGCGAGGAAGCCCCGCCAAGGCCCTCCCTGGCCCCAGGCAGGCAGGGGTGGGGAGAGGCAGGGAGGAAGCAACTTACCCTCCCTCTTCTCCTGCCTCCTGGCTGAATGAGGGCTGGAAGCGGGGCGGCCGGAAGCAGGGGGCGGGGCTTCGTCATGTGCCTCGCCCCCTGCACCTCACCCGGGGGAACTGCATTCCCCCGCGTTCCCCCCGAAATGACCTCTGGCCACGGTATACATGTCCGATCAGCCTACTTTGCTACATGACACAATTGGTGTACCCCCGCCCCCATTTTGGCAGAACCACAGATCACACAGGGCAACAGCTGGCACATTAAATGGACAGTTGTTTGGACATATCAGCAGAGGAGTGGCCTCCAATGCCTCTCTATATTGTTCTCAAGCACAAGATAAATAGTGTCAACCAATACTTTATGCACAGGGATTGCGTGTGCGCCATGATTCTGAGATTTCACCAGACAAGTATGGGATTTGACACTGGGTTCCATACTTATCTTGACAATGAGCTGTCATTCAATAAATAATAATAAATAAGTGTGGGGTGTCACCCGGTGAAAAGTCGGGAATCAGTGTTCAAAAGGCAAAGCCTCAATACCTTATAGTAGCTTTCATTATAATTCTATATTTTTATCCAACTCTTCGTCCCAGAGTGGCACACACGGGTTCTCTCCTCACCACCACTCTTTTTAAAATCAATTCTCACAATAATTCCTGTGAGGTATGTTAGGCTAAGAGGTAGTGAGTGACTGGCCCAAAAATCACCTCATGACTTTCAATGAGGAGTGGGAATCTGAACCCTGCCCCTCCACAGTCCTAGTCTACTCTACTCACTACACCACAGCAGCTCTAATATATCCTTGCTTTTTCCAATAACTATGGGCTTAGTTGAAAAGCTACAACTTCTCCAGGCACAAAATGCAAGCCACCTTGGCACAGATTGGATCTTTACTGAACACGCACACAGCCTTGCCTATAAAATCCTGTTTTGTCTGCCTGACTCCCAACACGTCTCTCTTCCTTACCACCACAGACGAACTCCCTCTCCAAAGCGACCAAACCCCGGCCTTCGTGACTGTCTCCCTACTCCTAGGTCCTTCTTCTTAATTCGCCTAAACCTGCCCATTTTCAATCCCAAAGCTGAAAAGGAGAAGAAAAAAAAAACACCCTTCCACTTCGGTTTCTGCTGGCTCTTGAACGCCATGCCAAGACTTTGCCTGCGTCAGGAACTTGAAGGCAACTGCTGTAAGTTTCATTTATCACCACAGGCGCGTCCGTTCAGACGACAAGCCAAACATTCAACAGCCTCAATCAGAGGCAACGAGGCTCTCACCGAGACATACTACAGACCAAACTACATCCAGACACTAAAGACAGTACAATTGGCACACCATTAAGCAAAGGAAGATGGGACCCATTCCAGAAAGATTACATGAATAAAACAGGAGGCCAGCGGCGCCTTAAGGGCGGGTACCACTAGACCCCTGTTTTACTTTATTGCTACAGACCAACACAGCTACCCATCTACAGTAAAGGGTCAAATATCTAAAGAGATAGCCACTAAATTTCTTGAGAGCTTAAAAAAAAACTTGGGGGGGGGGGAAATTGATTCATCCTCCCCACAAGGACGCCCAGCCATGGCCCTATTTGACATGGGCTCTTGGCTTTTAAAATGTGGACGGGTGGGTGAAACGGGCAATACTGTACTCGCTGACACTTGGAGTGAGGAACTTTCCACTTAGAAGGACTTCAGAAGACTCCGAACTGGGGAGGGAAACATCCCATCTACACGATGTCTAAAATGCACATGTTTTGAGCAGAGGCCTTCTTCGAGCTAAGGAAGAAGAAGAAGAAGAAGAAGAGGAAGAGGAAGAGGAGGAAGAGGAGGAAGAGGAGGAAGAGGAGATTGGATTTATACCCTGCCCTTCACTTGGAGTCTCAGAGCAGCTTACAAACTCCTTTCCCTCCCCCTCCCCACAACAGACACCCTGTGAGGTGGGTGGGGCTGAGAGAACTCTGACACAAACTGCTCTTTTTCAAGGACAGCTGTGCCAGAGCTGGTGACTGACCCAAGGTCACATCAGGAGGTGCAAGTGGAGGAGTGGGAATCAAACCGGGATCTCCCAGATTAGAGTCCGCACACTTAACCACTGTACCAAACTGGTTCTATAAGGTTTTACAAAGTGGCTTACGACTTTGTTCTCCCCTCCTGCATTTGAATTTCTATTTTCTTGAGCGGGCGGGGGGGAAGGGGATAGACGGCTGACTTTCAAAGCCCTGACCTTCGCAAACATGCCCTTCATCACTTCTTTAAATACAGCTTGCCACTAATACTACCCATGCTGTTTGCGCTACAAAAATCTGTACAGGCTTGAGGAAGAATTGTGAAATAATTTCTGCCCACGGTGCATTCTTTTACACAGAAAAGCAGGTTTTCATCCAGTGAATCGGTTCACATGTGATACCTGACC